CATTCCAAAATTCTTTTTGTCCACCGGTCATCAACTGATCTTGCTACATGACCTGCCCAGTTCCACTTTAGTGTTGTTATCCTTTCAATAACGTCTGCTACTCCTGATCTTTTGCGTATAGTAGCATTGGGTATTCTATCACGTAGAGAAATCCCTAACATAATTCTCTCCATTGCTCTTTCCGCAACTTGTAGTTTACTCACTGTTGTTCTTGTGAGCGTTAGGGTTTCTGCGCCGTAGGTCATCACTGGCAAAATACATTGATTAAATACTTTTCTTTTCAGACACATTGGAATCTTAGACCTAAAAATATCCTTCATCCTTCCAAATGCAGCCCAAGCGAGGTTTATTCTTCTTTTCAGCTCGATTGTTTGGTTGTCTCGACTTATTCTGATCTCATGGCCTAAGTATTTATAGGAGTCAACTGGCTCAATATCTTTGTCTTCTACTGAGATGTTTTTGTTGTGGACTAAATTTGTCATAAATTGTGTTTTTGAAAAATTTATTTTAAGACCAACTCTTTTTGTGGCAGTATGGAGTTCTTGGAGCATTATCTGTGCCTGATCAAAGCTGTCTGCAATAAGAACGATATCATCTGCAAATTTAAGGTTATTTAAAAATTTTCCATCTACATTGATGCCCTTTTCGTTCCAATCTATTGTTTTACAAGCGTATTCTAGCAAAGTTGTAAATAATTTAGGAGACATGTTGTCTCCTTGCCGAACGCCTCTTTCAATACGAAAAGTCCCAGTATCTTCATTAAGTCTTACACAGGCTGTAGCATGTTGATAGATGTATCTGATGAGAGATATGTATCGGTGATCTATTCTACATTGTGTTAGAGCTTGGAGCATTTCACTTTGATTGACCGTATCAAATGCTTTTTCAAAGTCGACAAAGATAAGTATCAGGGTCTATTATATTCAATGGTTTTTTCAATCAACGACTTAATGGTTTGCAAATGATCATTTGTTCCGTATCCAGCTCTAAATCCTGCTTGCTCGCAAGGTTGATAGAAGTCTAGTTTTGATGTCAACCTATTAGTTATTATCTTCATAAACAACTTATAAACGTGAGATAACAAGCTAATAGGTCTATAGTTCTTTAGCTCTGTTATATCTCCCTTTTTGTGCATGACTACTATAACAGCTTTATTCCACTGAGATGGTGTAACCTCGTTCGAAAGGCATAAGTTATATAATTGCGTCAATGCTTTCACTACTGTCTTTCCTCCTGCTTTAACTGCCTCAATAACGATTTGATCATCACCAGCTGCTTTATTGTTTTTCATTCTATTTAATGACTTTAAAACTTCTTCGGTTGTTATTTCTGGGATATCTCCAAGCATTTTAGTTAATGCTTTAACTAGAAATAGACAATTTTACGCACATTCTGGCTGAAATGCGTGCCGACTATACAGTGAACGGTTAAATTATGGAATATTATCATTATTTCGAGAACCGTCGAGTTTTGAGGGAAATCCCGAAACAGGTCGATTTTTGTTATTAAATACCCTTGTTATAATGTATATGGAGTAGGGATGATGTCACTGTTGTAGGTGGAGTGACGTAATCGTTAATTTTTTTAAATAGAAATCGGTATAATGCGACACTTCATTTTATACGAGAATTTAATTCTCTCTTTAACGACATTACATTTTTAACTAAAATATTTTTTTAAGGGTACAAAAACAATTTTTTTAATTTAAATTCAACTAAATTACAACTAATGATTTAATAAATATTGTACTTATTAACCATTAATTAACTAAATTATGTTAACTATTAATTAATTAAATTATGCATAATAATTATTTTAAATTAAATGTTCGAAATGCCATCCATCGGTTTCTTGATAATATGCGAATCTACGGACATTCATCAAGTACATTGCGGATGACTTCTGGAGTAATTAAACTCATTTCGTGCCTAATTCTATCTTTCAAGTCCTGTAAGTTGTGGGGTCTATTGACATAAGCTTTTGATTTTATGTAACCCCACAGGAAAAAGTCTGAAGGTGTTAGATCTGGCGACCTTGCTGGCCACTCTACAAAACCTCGTCTTTCGATCCACCTCCTAGGAAAGCAATGATATAAAAATTGCCGTACTTTACGTGCGTAATGCAAAAGGGCTCCATCTTGTTGAAACCAGATATTTTTACTGGGTAAATTTGAATTATTGGCATTTGGATATATGTTTCAAAAAATTTAAATAACGTTCTCCTGTTAGATTTTCTTCAAAGAAAAAAGGGCCAATGATTCTGTCATTAATGATCCCTGCCCATACTTTCTGAGGATATTGCGTGTGTGACTCAGTCATCCAATGTGGGTTTTCTTGACTCCAATATCTGCAATTGTGACGATTAACGATACCATGTATGAAAAATGTGACTTCATCGGAAAAAAAGGATTTGATTGATGAAATTTGGACTGCGGATACATAAATCCTGCATAATTTCAGAAAATTGAAGCTGGCGATCGGGGTCGTCGTCGTTTAATTCCGGATGTAGTTGAATTTTGTAGGGATAGTATTTTTCGTTTTTGAAAATATGTAATACCGATTGTCATGTACATTTAATAAAATATCAAGTTTCACATTGTCTTCAATTTTAGGACGCCCAGCGTTTGGAATATGTTTAACGTGCCCAGTTTCTCCAAATTCTCGGACTATTTTACTTACTGTTGATTGGCTGATGGGTCTGTCTGAATATTTCGCATTGAATAAATTGCATATCTCGTTCTGTGTTCTTTTTTATCTCCGCATCCGCTAAGAATTAATATTTCTATGTGTTGTGTTTTATTTAGGTGAGCCATAATTCAGTATTCAATTGTAAAAATTACCATCGACAACTGATGACAATTCACAAAATCAAAACATTTACTGTCAATAAATATTAGAGTAACTATGCCACTATCACTTGCTTGAATTAACATTTGACAAAAAGTTTCAGTGTTTATAAGATAACTTTTTGTGTCCATTATTATTTTTACTTATTTTTGCTTTTTTATGTATTTACTTCAGAAAGTTATGGCAGGAACCAATGGATGGCATTTCGAACATTTAATTTAAAATAATCATTATGCATAATTTGGTTACTTTAAAGTACATTACGAATTAAATCGTTATAATAGATGTAATTCAGTTGAATTTAAATTAAAAAAAAAATTGTTTTTGTACAGTTACGGTCACGGAATAGTTTACACCTTACTTTTTATATTGTAATACTGTAAAATTGCAGTGTCGTACGGATTTGATAAATGTCAAAGTCAAAAAAATTTCAAAACGTCAATGCTTTCGCGAGTGTTCAACAATAAAATAAAAGTATATTAAACTCTTCCAAAATGGTTAGAATACATTTGAATTATGCGCAAAAAGCAAGAGCAATTGCCAAACTCGAAGAAGGTTGGTCACTAAGGCAAGTTGCTGCTGATTTGAACGTGAGTCATATGTGCATATGGAAGATTAAACAAAGATGGGATAATTTTCACTCTATAGCACGGTTGGGCGGTTCAGGAGGGCAGAAGATTTCCACAGATCAACAGGATGAGATGTTAGTAGATTATTTGAGAGAATCTCCTTTTGCCACAGCTCAAAAGGCAAGAGAAGAGGCAGCGTTTCCAGGCAGTATTCGCACTGCACGTCGAAGAATTAAAGCAAGTGGACTGCTAAATTGTGTAGCTGCACGGAAACCTTTTTTGACTGAGGATCACAAGAGGAGACGAGTTGAATTTTGTAATGAATTTATAAACCGCGATGAGAATTTTTGGTCTAGGGTTGTATTTTCCGATGAAAAAGTATTTCAGTCGTATAATAATGGTCGAATAAGAGTTTATAGGCCGAGAAATCATAGGTATGATGAACAGTATACGCATCATTTAAGAAATAGTGGAGGATTCTCTGTCAACGTATGGGGATGGATAAGTGCCGAAGGCCCGGGCGTTTGTTATCATGTAGAGGAGAAGTTAACAGGATTATATTACAAACATATTATTGAGCACACAATGTTGCCATCGGTGATCCAGAGATTCCCCAACAACAACTTTATCTTCCAACATGACAATTGCCCGGTGCATACGAGTAGAATTGTTCGAGAATGGCTAGAAGAAACTGATGTTAATCTTCTTCCGTGGCCTTCCCGTAGTGCAGACTTTAACCCCGTCGAAAATGTGTGGGCAGAGTTAACAAAGAAACTAAATGAAAGAAACCTTAGACCACGGAATAGAATTGAATTATGGGAAGCAATTGAGCAGGCATGGGAAGAGCTTGTTAACTATAACATGAGGGGATTGGTGCTATCTATGAACAGAAGACTGCAAAATTGTATTGACAAGAATGGGGCTTCCACCAAATATTAATTATTATTTATCATTGTTTATCGTTATTTAATATAAAATAGATTTAAAATAAAATGCATATTAAAAAAAAAGACTTCTTTATTTTCGTTATTAAGATCATAATCCATTTTATTCAAAAAACTGTTTTCTATATTTTTCATTTTGTAAAATATTTTGATATTTTAATTTTAATCTACCTATTCTAGCTAGTACACCACTGGCAACGTCACTTTGACGTAAAAGGTGCGTTTAAACGAAGTAAATATTTAAAAAATGGGCTCCTAGATACGTGAACCTGTAAACTATTCCGTGACCGCAACTGTACCTTTAAAAATATTTCAGTTAAAAATGGAGAATTTAATTCTCCTTCAAATGAGATGTCGCATTATACCAATTTCTATTTAAAAAAAATTAACGGTTTTGTCACTACACACTCAACGATAACCTCATCCCTATTCCATGTACGTTATAACATGGGTATTTTATAACAAAAATTGACCTGTTTCGGGATTTCCCTCAAAACTCGACGGTTCTCGAAATAATGATAATATTCCATAATTTAGCCGTTCACTGTATATTATTTGACACTTTAATTATAAGGGCTGAGGAAATAGTTAATATAATTTTATTTTATTACAACAGTGGTAAAGGTAAATAAAACGAAAAATTGTTGTTAAGTATAATAAATGAAATGTTTTTCCAATCGATTTGTAAATTACATTTATAATATAACTTTATTATTAAAGCATAAATTTATTATGGCGAGTGATAATAAATTTCAAAAAACATTTAGGATCAGAATTATCAAATCAAAATTTTGTTTAATTGTTGAGGGCATTTTTCTGTCTAAGATACCTACGATTCTTTATCCCTGCCAAGCATATTTTCCATATAGACCAATCCTAAGAAATCTGTTTTGTTTCTATGGAGTCAATACATACTGGAAAGGGAGACAGTTCTACCATCGGTTGTCCCTTGATTCTTCCACTTATTAGTATCAGACTTGGTAACTAAATACAAAACGATTGCTACGATGGGCCGGTTAAGCGGCACATTGCAGATTCTATGGGACCAGCTTGGTAGGGAACAGTTTAATACTGATATTTAGTTTAAATTTAATTTTAAATTTTTAATTGCTCAATTCAACTTTTCGTTGATATTGATACGTAGTTTCATCAAAGTTATTATTTTTCATTTGCTCATCTATCCAGTTTCTGAATTTACCCACATTAACGTACACTCCGGGATGAGACTCTTCCCAGCAGCCTATCCCCCATGCCACAATACCAGCTTGAAAATAGGTTGCATTATCTTCTCCTACTGGAAGTACTAATGGACTGCCGCCATCTCCCTTGCAAGCATCTTTGTTAGCTTCGCCACCTGCGCATATAAAACTATCGTGCATCCTGTAGTTAGGTCCTAGTCGAGTCTTTTTCAAGTTCTCTTCACATTTTTCTTTATCAACTATTGGTACGTCGGTTTTTTTTAGAATGGTAGCGGAATCAAGAATCTCATTATTGAATTTAGTTTTACCCCAACCAGAAACGAAGGCTCTTCCCATGCTAGAATCCAAGGGAAAATCTTGTGGTGGTAAACAAACTGTACGAATATGTTCTGCTAAAGTTAATGGAGTTTTTAAAATTAAGAGGGCAATGTCGTTGTATAAAGCTTGGGGTATGAAATCTGGATGAACTATTATCTTCTTTACCTATAAAAGATAATTATTGTTATTGAAAAAACATACAATAGTACAAAAAATTTTGGTTTCAGGTCATCAACCGGTAAGTGTTATAAATAAACGATAACAACATGATAGACGTCAAAAAACTCCTGGTAAAATACCGTAAAATGGAATGAATAGGAACAATGGGGTGAATAGGAACAACACTTTACTATAGTTTATTTTTATGAACGAGAGAGTAATTAGCATAATTTTAACTAGTACCTCCGACCACTCCATGGGCGTGCACAAGATTAATTGAAAAATTACTTTGAATAATTGTAAAAAATAAATGAACTATTTCAGTGTTATAAAGTGTTGTGTATGGAAACAAAAGTGACCTCTTTTATCACACACTATATTAGAACTGACTGGCCTACATTAAAAAGGGTTTTAAAAAATTCACATTTTTTTTTAATTTTTAAAAATTACAAAGGAGAAAAAGAGTTTTTAAAACCGTCTAAGGTATGTTAAATAGATGAATAAAAATATTAATATAAAACTTACAGCTACTTGTTACAAATCCAAATCAGATTCAGAAGATGAACTTTCAGAACCAAGATTTATAATAACTGGCTCGATCATTTTATCAGTAATATTGTCCAGCTTCCACATTTTTTCCTCTTCTTTAATAGTGTGATTTACTGTCTTTTTCCAGTTTTCAGGTTTTACATTATTTACGGCCTCCAAAAACAACTGTTTAACATCATGAATTTTAAAAGTGGTATTTTTTTCTTGAAACTTCACTCTTTATCTGTGCCCATACCAGTTCAATCGGGTTTAATTCACAATGATATGGTGGGAATCTAAGTACTGTCATTCCACGATTTTTGGCAATTTCATCAATTTCGTATTTTTAAAATTTTTCTTTATGAAGGGCACACAACGAATAAAGTTCCTTTCTTATAGATCCGGGATGGTACGTAATATTTTTTGAACTCAGCCAATTCTGCAAGTCTTTTTTTAACCACTTGGTTGTGGGCAGTCCTTCTATAAGTCTGGAATGATAACTTGCATTATCCATTACTATTACACAGTTCTTAGGAAGAAGATCTATCATTTGTTCGAACCATTCTTGAAAGACATCAGCGTTCATGTCTTCATGGTAGTCACCGGTACGAGTTGATTCAAAAGTTAATAAACCACCTTCAACAAAACCGTCTGAACTGCCAATGTGTACTATTATCAGCCTGCATCCCTTTCCTGATGGTGGGTTTAAACCAGTAGATAAGTTATTTACAAAAGCGTACCTTTGACTTGTAACAGTTTCATCCTGCCAAAATTTATTTGGTGTATGTAGATTTATTTGGTGTATGATCCATGTTTCATCAAGATAAAATATTTTTCTTTTTTGGTTTCTCATTTCCTTTATGGTTCTTAGAAAATGTCTTCTCCATATGACAATATCGCTTCTTTCTAATAAAATAGACTTTCTGGGATTCTTTTTCTAACAGAAGCCTATTTCTTTTAAAAGTTTCTATAACGTACTTCGACTCATTTCTGGGTTATCCTTATCATCTCGAACTGAGACAAGAACTTTATGAAATGTTGGAAATTCTTGTCTAAAGAAGAATTCATGCACTTCCCGTCGAAGTCCTTCTTTAAAATGATATTCTATTTGAAATCTTGGTTTCCCTGAGCATTACGTGGCATTTGAAAACTACCACATTTCTATTCTTTAATAACTCTGTAAATCGTAGATTTCTCAACACCAAGTGTACTGCTAACTAACTCAACGGTCTCATCAACACTTTCACATAAACGTTTGTCTGTAAATGATTTAAAACAATTAAATATTAATGTTTTTTCATTAACTGTTAAAGGACCAATTTTTCGGCGTTTACACGGCACTTCCAAATTTTCCATAACACTAGTATACACAATAAACTGCACCTTGCAACTGAAGTACCTACTTTTAGTGAACTGTTAAGAATTTTGAATACGCCACTTGGACCTTCCTAAAAAATGGAAAAACCCACTATCACATTTTCTGTGGAAATAAGTTTAGAAGGTAATTATCTAGTCAATTACTGTCGTAGATTCCTGGAATTAAAGAATTAAATGTTTGATTGTTGAAACCCTTACTTCGTGGAATGCACTCATTTCAGATAAAATAAAACGTTTTATTTTATCGAAAGAATTAAACTTTATTTTGCAAATAGGTAGGTACTTATTAAACTTTTATTGGTTATATATAACCAATAAAATAAACATCTTACATTTCTTGCAAATTAATTAGTACCTGTTAACCTCCATCACTCCGACACTGGCAACCTTATTTAGGGATTAGTAACCTATATACTTCTGTAAACTTGTTGACAAATATCTGTTTTTCATTGAGTCACCCGTATCAACAGTTTAGGGATTTGTATACATAATTTATTGTTTTATTACTCTCTAATACATAAAAATACACTACAAACAATAAAACTTGCCAAACATTGATGCCAACAACACAAACCTACATTTCCCAAAGCTATATCAAATTAGCCAACCTGCAAAACTTAAATAGTCCAACGAAAATAATATATATATATATATATAGTCCAACGAAAATAATATATATATATATATATATATATATATATATATATATATATATATATATTATTTTCGTTGGACTATTTAAGTTTTGCAGGTTGGCTAATGTGATATAGCTTTGGAAAATGTAGGTTTGTGTTGTTGGCATCCCTAGTTACTTTTCGGCATACAAACATAGTCATTCATTCTGAGATTATTTCCCATCATAAAAACTTTCTCGGTAAGTAAAAAATCTCTGTCAAAATAGATTTACTAGTACACATTTTTATGTATTCCTATTTTTATCCTTATTAAGATAAAATCTTTTTTATTTTTAGTGAACTGATGATGCTTTTAAAAATAAAAGCGAAATATATTCAAATAAATCAATAAAGTAGTTGACGACTTTTATTTGCCAATTATTGACCGATAAAACCTATTCAACTATTGAATATATTTTAAATTTAATCACCGGTTATATTTTTTGCTATATATATATATATATATATATATATATATATATATAATATATATATATATATATATATATATAAATATATAATATATATATATATATAATATATATATATATATATATATATATATATATATATATATATAATATATTCAGGGATTCTACAGTACTCACTGCCTTCCCTCGCTCCACCTTTTCCATCTCTCTCTGTTGTCCCATTCTCCATCGTTTAGGCCTCTCTTACTCATGGCGTCGTCCACTTCGTTCCTCCAGGATCTTCGGGGTCGTTCTCTTTTCCTCCTTCCTATTGGGCTCCATTCGGTTATTCTCTTTATCCATCTGGTGTCGCTAGTTCTTCTTACTGTTCTATATATGTTAGTATGTCTGTTTCTATTGATGTTCTTTCCTTTATTTCGTTATTACTTCTACTATCCATTCTTGTTACTCTGCAGCATCTTCGCAGGCATTCCATCTCTGTTGCTACTATCTTACTGCTGTTTTTCTTATTTATAATCCAATTTTCAGCCCCATATGTCATAATACTTCACACTAATGTTTTATAAATCTATGTTTTTGTCTTTATATTTAGGTGTCTATCCCACCATACCAAGTTAAGTTGTCGGATTGCTGTTCTTATTTGTCCTAATCTTTGTGTAATTTCTTCCTCTGTTGTTGCCTTTTTCGTGATTATAAACCTCAAATATTTGAATTTATTCTTTCCTTTGATTGTTACGTTGGCATCAATCTGTAGATCTTCTATGTTTTATTTACTTGTAGATAGGTACTCTGTTTTCGCGAGGTAAACATCTAGACCAGCCATCTTCCTATTGATGATATTACGCTTATTCCTATGTAGTTTTCGCATCGTTTTCTATCTCCTTTCTTAAATATAGATGTCATATATACCTCCGTCCATTCCTTTGGGAGCTGTTTTCCATTTATGGCTTTCTGAAATATCCATTGTATCATCCGGTGCAATTTTTTTGATCCGCATTTTATAAGCTCAGGTGAGATGCCTCCAGGTCCCGGTGCTTTCTTATTTTTGATTGCTTTTATGACCGTTATCATTTCCCTATCTGTTATTTCTATTTCTTGTTGTGGGGATCTGCTTCGTCTTCAGCCGTTTTCTTTTCCAACGAATTCTGGTCTCTGTTCGGTTAACAGTTCCTTGCAATAGTCCTTCCATTCTTTGTCCTGTATATTTCCCAATCTATTTTTTTTTGAGTTTTGTTTCAATCTTCTCAGTACTTTCCATGACTCCGAAGTTCTTGTACCTTCTATGTATGTTTCAATATTTAAGCAAGTTCTTTCCCATTCTTCATTCTGTTGTTGTGTTATTTGTTTTTTCACTTCTCTATCATTTCCTCTATATTCTTTATAAACTGCATCGTTGTTTGTAATCAGCCATTTTCTGTATAGTTGCTTTTTTTCTTCAATTATTCTTTTTGTTGGTGCATTTATTTCATAATAGTGCTGTTTATTTGTTATACGTTCTTTTTCTCCAAGAGCTTCGAATGCTGCTTGTTTTATACTCGACTTTATATTTTTGTATATTTCTTCGACGTTGCCCTATCTAAATTCTATTAATTTTTGATCTAATCTAATCTAATCTTTGGTGGAATCTTTCTGCCATCTTCAAATCATTCTCTTATGTACCTATTTGTCAACGCCGCAACGATGTTTCCTAGTTCTTGTGTCCCCGAAAAATGCTGGTAACCGCGCTAGCGACGACAGACATTGACATTCAAAATTCAAACAACAGCAGTTAAGTAAGAAACATATGTTCATTTTGTGATTTTGTGTATTTAAAATTAATTTCTCATTTAATATAGTCATCATCTAGTTATACAGTGATTTTTTCAATATCCAACAGTATTCACTACATATATTTTTTTCTAAGTGCAAAACAATTTTTCCATCTCTGTCTGCAATATTTTTTAATTGTTTCTTTGTGTTCGTGTCATTACTTTTACTTTTTGGTGGATTTTAAAGGTATCACTGTCAGTTTTGTATTTTGATCAACTTTTCCCATGTTGGGAGTGGTCTACTATGATCTCCTAAATGAAACTTGGATAATCTCGGCTTGTGCTATTAGATATGAGATAAAACCAAATTTTACCAAACAGTGATTATGCAGCGACATTTGTTCTATTTTTAGTCTTCATGTTTTAAACGGTTAAAGTAGGACATACTGTGCAAAGGATCATTAAGTATTAAGTCTTTATACACCAAATAGCTTGTTTTTAATAAGAATTGAGTGAAAATGATAAATATACCTTCAACAGTACAAAAATAAAATAAGTCATTTTATCGAGCTGTCGCAGATAATAACTTTACCAGTAACACTTCAGTTTACATAAAGAAGACAAATATTTCGTTGATTCAAACACTAGATATAAAATCTATATTTTAGGTTTTATAATCGTAATAAGCAGAAAGAATGTTACTTATACTATCTTTGGAGATATTAATAAACCTTATTAAATAGCTCATAAAAATTACAATAACAGAAATCGTAAAAGAATAAAACAGATAAACAAAACAGTCTGAAAACACAAGACAATTTCCCGACACGAGTAAAGACTCTCATAAATCAGAGATCGAAAATACTTTTACCCATTACTGTGTCAGAAGTAAGAACAGCTTTGAAGCACATGAAGAACCATCGATCGCCTAGCGATGATTGACTCGTTATTGAGGCAATAAAAGCAGGAGGAGAAATTCTATTAAAATCAGTAAAAGAACTGTTTAATAAATGCTTACATGTGGGTACGATTCCAAAATCTAGAGTCTAAAAGTAAGACTGGAACAATGCAGTGATCGTCTTGTTACACAAAAAATGCCATATTACTAGATTAGAAAATTATAGACCCATCAGCCTCTTGACACATATGTACAAACTCTTTATGAAAATCTTAATAAAGACACTAACACATAAACTTGATTTCTATCAGCCCAAAGAACAGGCAGGCTTCAGGGCAGGATATGGTACAAATGAACATTTGCATACCATAAAGATCTTAATAAAAAAGTGCATCGAGTACAATATACCACTGGTTCTTGCATTTGTTGATTACGAAAAGGCTTTTGATTCTGTAGAGTTTAAAACAGTACTGGAAGCCCTAAATCAAAGCCGAATAGATTACAGGTACACGACACTAATCAAAAACATCTACGAGAACGCTACATCAAGTATACAACTACACGAAGATACAGAAAAATTCAGTTTAGGTCGAGGAGTTAGACAAGGAGACAATATTTTAGCAAAATTGTTCACGGCAGCTCTAGAGTCAATATTTAAGAACATTGAATGGCAAGATATGGGCATCAATTTAGAGGGAGAAAGATTAAATCATCTAAGGTTTGCAGATGATGTTTTATTAATCGCAGATAACTTACAGGATACAGTTTCTGTGATAAATTCGCTTAAAAGTCTGTCTGAAAAAGCAGGATTAAAGATAAACTTTGAGAAAACGTAACTTATAACAAATCTCGTAATGAGTGGAAATATAACTATTGACAATAATACCATACAACTAACAGACATTTACAAATATCTGGGACACGAGATCAAAATAAGCAGATACAATCAAACACATGAAATACAGAGGAGAATAGGCCTGACATGGGCAGCATTTGGCAAATTAAGCCATATGTGTCTCAAGCGAAAGGTTTATAACCAATGTGTTTTGCCTGTACAAACTTATGGAGCAGAGACTTTAACACTCACGCAAAAATCTGCGAATAAACTCAGAGTTACACAACAAGCCATGGAACGTACAATGCTGTACGTGAGCCTTCGAGACCACATAACAAAGCAACGAATCAGGCAAAGATCAGGAGTTTAAGACGTCATCGAAAGAACCACGACGCTTAAGTGGAACTGGACAGGGCACTTAGCCAGAACACAAGACGGTGGACAAGACGTATTATAGAATGGAGCCCTAGAAACTATAAAAAAAGCCGAGGACGACCACCGACTAGATGGACCGATGATATAAAACGTGTAGCGGGAAACTGGCTACAAGCGGCCCAGTGTAGAGAACACTGAAAAGAACTGAGGAAGGCCTATGTCCAGCAGTGGACGCGATTGGCTGATTGATGAAAGTAATTTATCTAACATATATGAAATAATTACCTCTCTGTCTTCATGGGGAAGGATTTCAACTAAAAGATCCATGTCCCATAATCCAGCTCTTACACTGTATTGGATATCGGTATTGTTATCAGTTACGCAATGGGCTGCTGTCAGAGCAACATTAGGATTAATAAGGGATCCTCCACATTTATAGGATAAATCTTTGCCAGGTAAGTTTTTCATAATAGCTAACATCCAAGGGAACTCTCCAAATTGAGCTTGTCCATCTTGGGCGCCTGCAAGGAAGAATATAAATTAATCTAAAAAGAGTAGAAGTACACACATATATACATACATAACAGTATGTTAGGTTTTAAATTAGATATATACCCTATAAATGACAACACTGCGCGCCGTCGATTTTCTACGAAACTGCTTCGTTGACCCGTCGCCAATAATTTGTCAATATACAGTGATTGTTAACAGCGTTAACAGCGTAGGTCGTTAATTTATTTTTGTCAAAAACATGTCTGTTTATACTCCCGCAGAAAAGTTCAAATAATAAAATTGTTTTCTCATCGCTGTGGAGATCTGCCTCGTTGGCGTTGACTCTAAGACCTTCCTTCTGTGATCGCTTCGATGGATATGATCAAAGAATTTTAAAATGGTTAAGTAAGCGGTATTAGAGAGACGCTGATTGGGTTTCATTTTATCTAGAACCGAAACATTCATGCAGCGAGCCGTCCATGGAATTTGAAGCAGTCATCTTCATATTCGCATTTCAAAAGCCTATGTACTATGCGTCGTCTATCTGATTATTTGACTGTCCACGTTCCGCATGCACAGTAAAATATGGAAAAGACCAAAGTTGAAACGAGTGTCTTCTTGTTTGTCATCCTAATGTGACGATCACACAATATCCCATTTAGTTCAGTCATTATTGCTCTTGCTAGTTGTATGCGTCTTTGAATTTGCGGTTCACAACTGCCTGTGTTGTTAACTAGAACTCCGCAAGTTTGAGTTTCAGGAAAGAGTTGTTGGCGATCAATAATGGTTGGTTTTGTTGATGACTAATGATCCATTAGGATGGATTGCGTCAGTGATAATGTAATCAAAAATATTCATACAAGATTTGTGTACAAAAAAGGGATAAGTTTGGACAAAGAAATGGATAATTCTGATCAAAAACGATGGATTGAGTATTACTCACAGCTAAAACACCTCGAAGAGATAGGTAAAAACGTTGGAAGATATGTGTAAGATAAGCAACATAATAAATGGTGATTTACTATCGAGCTGGCTAAAAGAGGAACAAGAACGAGCAAAAATGAAAGTCGAGCGTTAGATCTGGAAGTTAATAGAAGAAAGAAGAGGGGTCTTCTAGGAACAGTCCTCACATCAGTATTTGGAGTAAATAATAAAGTATACAGATACATAGATTCCTTGGACGCAAATCAGAAGGATCTAATAAAAAATTCAAAACATCAGACGAAGCTGATGTTACAAACAGTAGCTTCGACTTACTCTACAGAACAAAGAATAAACGGATATTTAAAAAGGTTTCGAGAAGCACCGATAAACGGAACTACGGAAATGTCTAAAGGCCTAAGTGATATCTCATTTAGAGCTGACACATTAGAGAAAGATTACATATGACTTAAAGTGGAAACGACTTATAACCGTGCAATGGAATATGCAAAAGAATATGCGAACACATATGAAAAAATATTAAATCTTCATTACAATCATGGACACTTCATAGATATTGTAAAACCCGGACAAATAGAGTCAATCATTTCGAATGTTACAAGGTTCCTTCCACAAGGAGTAGATATAAGAAGGCAGTTAATAATAGACACGGTCGTACAAAATGAAGGAGACATCGTCATTATTGGCTATTTCCTAATAATTGACAACACTAGATACAACCTACTGAGAGTCACAGCTGTTTCGTTGTTGGTGAGAGGTGGTGTTGTGCGCTCCTTGTTGGTCAAAAGGAATCTACTTGCAGTAGATTACAATAACTTACACTATTATGAACAGACATATGAATATAAAGGAAAGTGTATAGAATTAAACAAAGGAGAGTTGGACTGTTCACCAATGGGAATCATGATAGAACTACCGACACCACCTGCAATATAATAGAGTACACGATAAAGGAAGCCAGTTGGTTGAAAATGAGCACACCGAACCTCTGGCTAGTGAAAATTTATACCATACGCTATAAATTTAGCTATAATGTGCGACGGTTCTCGATCTGAACATATAATCAATTAAACTAGTTTTATAAAGCTCTCACCAAAATGCGTTGCTCAGACTCGAAACATAACATTACTCACATCCAGTAATGGAATATATATATATATATATATATATATATATATATATATATATATATATATATATATATATATATATATATATATATATAGTCCCAAGATTCCTAAGAGGAACATAGGGCTTCCACAAAGTGTCTCCAGCGAACTCTATTTCTGGCTAGTGCTTTGATTTCAAGCCAGGATTTTCCCATTGTTCGCCCTTCGTCCAGTACTGTCCTTCTCCAAGTTCCCTTAGGTCTGCCTACTTTCCGTCGGCCTTGGGGATTCCAATCCAGTGCTGTCCTGGCAATGTCATTTGGCGGTCTACGGAGTGTGTGGCCCAGCCATCTCCATTTTCTTCGCCTTATTTGCTTTATGACATTTTCTTGGTTGCTTTGGTTCCATAAATTTTCATTGGAGATTCGGTTAGGCCAAAATATACGAAGGATTTTTCGTAACGCTCTATTAATGAAAACTTGTAATTGGTGTACTATGGGTGCTGATATCTTCCACGTTTCGCAGCCATACAGTAATACAGCTTTTACATTTGTGTTGAAGATTTTTAGTTTCGTTTTAGTTGGGTAAATCCTGGATTTCCATATGTTGTTAAGCATATTGTAGGCGTTGCGAGCCTTATTTATTCTTTCATGTACATCACGCTCTGTACCCCCATTACAGTCAATTATGCTGCCCAGATATACAAATTCCGCTACTCTCTCAATTTTCTGGTCGTTGATCATAATAGGTTGGTTGTTTCTGGTACCAAATCGCATTTCTTTGGTTTTGTTGGTGTTTATTTCTAGACCAACCTTCTTTGATTCTTCTTGTACTTTGTTTACTTGGAGTTGCATGTCCTGTTTTGTATGTGCTAGGAGGCATATATCATCAGCGTAATCTAGGTCTTCCAGTCTGTTTGTTAATCCCCAGTAAATTCCTCTATTAGAGTTTACCTTTGTTAGTACGGAGTCCAGTACAATGTTAAATAGTATAGGGGATAAAACACAGCCCTGCTTTACTCCGTTTAACATAGCTATTGGGTCAGATGTTATGCCGTTGTGTAGGATTTTGCTTTCTGTGTCACTGTAGAGTTCTTTGATGAGATTTACTATTTTTTTCTGGTATTCCTATTTCCTGCAGTGCTTTCCATATGGCCGTATGTGTGAGCGTGTCAAAAGCTCTCTTGAAGTCCACAAAGCACACAAAGAGAGGAGAGTTGAATTCCTGTGACTGTTCTACAATTATTCTTAGTGTGTTAATTTGGTCCACGCATGATCTGTTTGGTCTGAAACCGGCTTGTTCCTTCCTCAACATTGGTTCTACACTCTTTGTTAGTCGGTTGTTTATAATTATTGCTGTTAATTTATTTATAGTATTCAGAAGTGTGATTCCTCTCCAGTTTTCGCAATATCTTCTGTCGCCCTTTTTTGGTATCTTTATTATTAATCCCGTTTTCCATTCTTTGGGGAACTTTTCCTCTCTCCAAGCCCTTTTCAAGAGTGGTTGGATTAGCTCTGCCACTGTACCTGGGCAAGCTTTTAACAACTCTGGTGGAATATTGTCAGGGCCGGCTGCTTTGTGTGCTTTCAGTTTTTCTATGGCCATTTCTATTTCTTGCGTTGTTGGTTCGTTGGTGTTAATTCTCAGTTGGATATTGGGTATTAGGTTTTCTGCGTCTTCTGGTGGTGTTGGGACTGCACTTAGAGATTCGCTAAAATATTCATGCCATCTTTTGACTTGTTCCTGTGGCGTTGTAATATCTTCACCTGTAGCACTTTTTACAATTGGTTGGTGGGTAGTATATCTTTTATTGGCTAGTTGTTTAGTGATATTATATAATTGTCTCATGTTTTGATGTTCATCGGCGACTCGCGCTTCTTCGGCAAGATTTTCTGCCCACTTTCTTTTGTCTTTCTTTGCTGCCTTCTTGACAGCTTTATTCGCTTCTCTATAACTTTCTCTAAGTCGATTCTTCTCTGCTGCTGTCTTGGAATTTAGTAATTCTAGATTAATGTGTTTGCGACGTTCTATTTTGTTCCACGTTTCTCTCGTAATCCACTCTTTCTTTACGTCTTTCTTTAGGCCCAGCACGTTTTCACTTGTTTCCACAAGGGCTTTGCTAATCGTTTCCCAATTTTTGTCCTGTCTTTCATCGATTTTGGATCTCAGCTGTCGTGTGAATTCTACTTTCGTCTCGTTATTTTGTAGTTTCTCAATGTTGAACTTTTTTCGAATAGGTTTGTTCAGTTCTTTTCTATTCCTAGCTATTTTGAATCTAATTTCGGCCATCATCAGGTAGTGATCACTGGCCGCGTCTGCGCCTCTCCATGATCTGACATCTAAGAGAGATGTTCTCCATTGCTTACTGATTGCAACGTGGTCGATTTGATTGTAGGTGCGGTTATCTGGCGATTTCCATGATACCTTGTGGATTGTTTTGTGTGGGAACAAAGTCCCTCCAATGATTAGGTCATGGTTACCACATAATTCAATGAAGCGTTCGCCGTTGTTGTTTCTCTGGCCAGTGCCATGCTTTCCGATAACGTGTCCTAGGTTGGTGTTGTCAGTGCCAACCTTGGCATTGAAGTCTCCTATCATTATTTTTATATCGGATCTTTTAATTTGTTCTAATGTTACTTCAAGGCATTCGTAGAAATCCTCTTTTTCTTGTTCTGTTGCTTGTTCTGTTGGTGCATAGCACTGAATCAGTGTTACCAGTCTTAATTTGGTCCTAATTCTTGCAGTGATTATTCGCTCTGAAACAGGTTTCCATTCCACAAGAGAATTTTTTGTGGCTTTACTAAATAGAATTCCTACTCCATTTTCATGTCTTCCGCCATCTGTTTTACCAGAGTATATCAGCAGGTCGCCTTCCATGTTGACGTGCTCTCCCGTCCTATTCCACCGTGTCTCACTGAGACCTAGTATATCGACTTTATATGCTTTCATCTCTCTACAAATTTGGGCAAGGCGTGATGCTTGCATCATAGTTTTTATGTTCCAATATCCGATTCTTGTCCGTTTACGTAAGCCAAAGGTCGTTATCAAAGGATCCGTCCGGTTGTTCTCTGTAGAAGTTTCGAAAATCTAGTAATTTGAGGCGGATAGGTGATTGGCCTCTCGCGCCCGATTCTGATGCCGGGGCTGCCGGCTCTAGCCATCAGACTGGCCTCAGGAATTCCTGGAATGGGACCATGACATTTTCTTCATGTTTATGGTACTAAGGTTATACCGCCTATACTCGGTCGTCAGAGCCTCGTTGGTTATTTAGCAGGGTGCACCGTGTAACCATTTGTTACCGCTCGAGCAGGTGAGGTTGACATTTGGGTCATGATGTTATCGATGTTGGTTCGACCCCTTACACCCCCAGTAATGGAATCAGCAATTGGAAATTATTTAAAGACTTCCCTCAGTCCCATTGAAGAGCTTATGCAGTGGCCAATCATAAAGCAGAACATTTCCAGACATAAGATAGATATTCGGGGAGATGAGTTGCCAAATATTGTACTTGAGGCATAGCAGTTTGAACAAGATATATACGAACATAGGTGGAAAACCATTGCTAAACATCAGTGGATTCCTCATTTAACCACTAGTCACTATATTCATTGTTATGTTGATTTTCATTATATCGAAGGTAGTCAAATATATTCGAAACTCCAAGAGAGCCAGAAAACAAAGGTATCAAGGTTCTTGCATCCGATCTCATCCAGCGCCTCGAAGGCATACGGTACCACAACCAAATTTAAGTAAAACTTTAGAGAAAACGTTCCTAGATCAGTTTCACTTAATAAGCTTAGATTTGAATTAGATAGTTTTGCTGAAACATAAATTGTAAATAATTAAGTTATAGGTAGCACTGTTGGGTTGAGATAATAATTCAAAAACCGAGTGACTTAGTGTTATGATTATTGTTATATTATTATTCTATATTTTTTATGTGTTTAGATATTTTCTATTGGTCGTCTGTTTCTTTTATATAGTGGCCAATATGTTCAATCACAAATTAATCCCTTAATTTGTAATCTCAAATTATACTTAACTTCTTAACCTTTTATAGTTTCACCGTCTATATTTGAAACATTGTGAAAACATATCTTATAATATTTTAATAATTAGAGTCCATTTACCTGCAACTTAATAAATTGCCGAATATTATATTTTCCAATTGAACTTCCTAAGTGTTGCAATTACGGCGTAGATTATTAAATTGTAAGCTCATAGTTCAAAGTTTGTTAGTATGATAGAAGTATTAACCTCTGTGCTGAGGTATACCTAACCAACAACTAGAGTGTAATTATTAGTAGCTGTCAATAAAACTTTAATTTTACTCCACGACTTCAACATTTTATTGTATTACCATCGTCGATCGAGAAGAATCGCACAAAGGGGTATTAGAAAACAATTCGATCCTGATATTTACATCGAATCTGTCCATGTAGTTAACCATGAGTCTAGCATGAGTCTGGGCTAGAGTGATAGGCTAGAAGTGTAGTATCGTTTGCGAGATGCAAGTTAGCTATCTTGACACCGCCTAGGTTTACTCCTCCCTTCCAATCATCTAACAATCTGAGCATTATGAAATCTGTATGGGTGTTAAATGTTAAGATGGATAAAACGCATTCTTGGCGTACTACCTTCTTTATAATGCATTCGTCAGATAGGCATTCGTCCATTCGATCATGTTATCTTGATACAGTTTGCTAATAAGGTGAGTCAAGTGAGCCAACAGTAATAAATTAATATAAATGGATCGAAGTGATTACCATTATTTACAAATAAAAGACAACAGGAAAAGGTGAGTAATACAAGTTACCTACCTGAAAATTGATTGCCCGCCCCTCGCTTATTTCTTTGGCCACATCTTAAATTGGAATCTGCAAATCAATGTTTTATTTTATATAATACTTAAATATTTAAATTGAAATTGAGTTAAAATTAAAAAATATATTAGTAAGATAAACAACGCAATGAAAAATATCCGGAAGGTTACTACTTGGGAATATAAAGTTCCCCAAGATTCACGCAAGAGTTGATTTCACGCTATTCGTGTAAAATAGTTAATATGTGACGTTAGTTAAACATTAAAACACAAGATTTATTTCAACAACATTGAAAACATTACAAATAAGGTAGGAAATAATAAATACTGATTCATTAATAGCTTGGATTATTTCCTTAAGCAGCAGTTCTCTTTGAGGTCAATTTTTTATTTACTATATTTAGTTACAACGTATATGAATTAACTGTAACTCGTAATTATTTAGCCTTCAAAATATATGATGCATAATAAAGTTGGCCTAAGTAATAGTATATTACATAACGAGAGTTGTAAGAAGCTTATTACATGCGAGTAAAAAAGTTGCGCGCGAGCCGCGTAGCGGCGAGCGCAGTAATTTTACAAGCATGTAATAAGCTTACAACTCAAGTTGTGTACTATACTTTTTCTACCATTATTTTCGTTTATAAAAATAAAAATTACCACTATATTTACACTGACAGATTAATCATTTTTAATCTGTCAAAATAAGGTCTGTTAATTCGTTTCCATGGTAACTCGACCAACTGACTTACGAGGCGTATGTGATATTACACATTTTTTTTTTATAAAACTGAAGCGTAATTTTTTTTATTACGTGCTAGTCATTACGTGTCACTATCTGTTATGATGCATTTACTTGGCATCCAAATAGTAGGTAATATACAATTTACTATGGTCTGTTTTTTAACCAGGGGGAGTAATTCAAATTTTCCGCGCCGTAATGCTTGTTTGCAATTGGTCCAACCGCAGGTAAATTTACTCCACTAAATTGTGACATATTGACACTAATGACATTTGTGAAATTTATTTATTATTATTATTTTCCTCTAATATATAAAACGATTTCTGAGTTTTTAAGTTCAAGTTGTTTGTAATAACTTGGACTTGCAGATATGCGAATTGTGATATTTTTCTAGATGATATTTATACTAAATATATAAAGTGTTTATAAATTGTATGTATGTGTGTATTTATAGATGTATGATTGTATGTTATTTATATCTAATTATCATAAGAAAAACGGCAACTATCTTTTAAATTTAGTGTATACTTGTTAAGAAGCATTTCCATTCACTTTCAATAAAATATAAGTAATAAATACAAAGAATATAAAAAAAACTAATAAACAATTTGTAAGCAGTTTATAATATTTTTTAGTTCAATAATCATATTTGTTATTTAAAATATAAATTTGTTATTAATACTTAGTGATGCATATAATTGTATTTTTAGGTTTCCAAAAGAAACCAAATAAATATAGTGTTTTATGTTCAAAACATTTTTTAGAAAAAGATATTGATAGAACTTCACTTTCTTCTATTCGTTTGAAAGACACTGCTGTTCCAATAGCTTATATCACACTGGTAATATATTCTTACTAAATAACTACTGCGACATCATTATTTTTATTCTACACAGTATATCCAATGTGAAATTCGGCAGATATTCAATTTTGTTTTTTAATAATAACTTTTCTAACTTTGTTAATTGAACTAAATTTTTAAGTGTCAGTTAATTTATAATTATCAAATATATGTAAATATACTAAAATGTAAATATACTATGTATCAAATATAGTAAACCTAACGTATTTCTTTTATTTCATACCGTATATTCATTTTACCCTTTAAAATATTATTTATATTATTATCTCTTTCAGATACAACTGTTATTTGACTGTATTATTTTATCTGTATACATTATGTAGGTATAGATGTCTTTTTAGTGTTTACTGCGGGATAAATAAATCCCTAGCCACACCTACGCCGACGCCTATGATGTCGTTTTTAATACACACGTTGATATGCTCATAGCTTCTCCATAGATTCTAACTCGATGGCCGAATTATTAGTATTTATCTACAAGTTCTAGGAAAATTAATGTTGGCAAAATTGGCACTCTGACTTTTGTATTTTATTAGAAATTATGTAAAATATTGGTTATTACATAGTTATATACGAGAGTGGAATTAGATTATGTAGGTTATCTTCACTTCATTTTTGACCCCCATTTTGAAAAATAGGTATTAGTGATTGATTTAGACATTTTATTAGAAATTTCGATCGGAAAAATTATTGTTATAGTTTATATAGAAATTTTATAAAATATTGGTTGTTATACATATCGTCGTTTAATGCAAAAGCTCGTAACCCACAAATAGGTTTTTTACAGGAGAATAAAAAACATTATCTGCATGTGAAAATCGATAAACCCAAATAAATAGTTGATTTTTTATTAAGGTATTCTTATATATTGTAAAATACTCAATTTTTTTAATTTTCAAAATTATTTTGGTCTAACGGTGGGTTTGTGAATGATTTGTTGCCAAATGATATTGCAAAATGTAGTTTAAGTATTTTATCGAATTAAAAAGTTATTTCTAAATTAAGTTTTATTTATAATTTAAGTACGTATTAAAAATATTTTAAACGAAATAATTAATTATGTTCGATATTATCATAAAAGTCATGGCAATCAGGAGGGATAACAGCTTAAATTGAAGATGTTTCTATTTCTGAGCCTTTATTTTTCTATTTTCCAAATTCATTTGGGGCCAAACACGGCATGTTTCTTGTCTGTTTATACGATGAGGTAGTTCTGCCCATAAATCATCAAAGTTGAGTTTGTAGAAAACAACACCTTCCGGGCACATATATAATATCTCTAATATCAGTCACATTTTTGTTCCCTGGTCGTATGCGGGCACACATCTGGTTTTTCTTTCTAAAATAATCTTTAAACCGATCGTAAGTTACTTATTCGGTCTCATATGGATAGCGATTTTGTCTGGCTTCACGAGTAATAGAAAGACAAGTGGAAGGCAGATATATCTCACGTCATTCAATTTTAATTTTAGTTTCTATTCGACAGTAGTATTTTCGTTTAATTATTTGATTTCTACTTATAGAACAAAAAAGCAGTGCAAATGCCATGATACTGTTAGGTTTTGATATGTGCATCCATCACTGTAAACTGTAAGTGGTAAGTTGCTATCTGTACACCTACTTCGTGTCCACAAACAAACAGACAAACCAAGAAGCGGATAAATCAGTTTCTATTTCGCTAAAGCAATAACACATAACATATTTTGTCTTTATAATCATTATGGTGAAATTATGTCAAGACAATTTTGTTTTATAATTTAGATGACTTGCGTTAAGGCTGGGACATAACTTAACAGCTTGTAAATCCATCATTAAAACGATACTTGATTCATCTTGAGCTAGCATGGTGTCATTCAGTTTTTCTTGCCTTTCTGTTTCCTCTTAGTAAAATGATTAACAAAAGATTCCTCATCCAAGTTTCCTACTTCATGTTTACAACAAATGTCACATTTATCTTTTTCAGGTAGGTATATAGAAATTCCCTTCTCATGGAATAACCCGACAAATGTTCTTTTACCCATAGCCTATTTGCTTTCATTTTTTAACTTCAACAGATCCTCCTCCTACGTGCCTTCTCTATTGAGGTTGGTGATCAATATGGCAAATTTCTCTCTGTTCTGGGCTTGATGGATTAAGTCATTTCCTGTTGTGTGAGTCCAATCTCTGATGTTTCGGAGCCAGGATTTCTTCTTTCTTCCTATACCCCTTTTACCCTCGATTTTGCCTTCTAATATTACCTGGAGCTGCTCAAATTCCTTATGGCGCATTATGTGTCCTAGATATGACGTCTTTCTAATTTTGATTGTATTAACCAGATGAGGTCGTGTGTTCATTATTTCCAGTACCTCTTCATTTGTAGTTTTGCTGGTCCAGCTTATTCTTAGCATTCGGCGGTGCATCCACATTTTGAATAAATTCAGTTTGTTGACGTCATACTGTTTTAATGTCCAGGTCTCACAGCCATATAGTAGTAGAGACCACACATTACACTTTAGTGTTCTTAACCTTATTGTGATTGATAGCTTGGGGTTACAGAGCATTTTACGCATGTTCATGAAGCCAGATCTTGCTATTTCAATACGTCTTCTAATTTTTTTTGAGTGGTCTAGCTGACTGTTTAGCTCTCTGCCCAGGTATATGAAGCTTTGGGAGCTCTGAAGGGTGATACCATTGATTGGTATGTTGGGTGTAATTTGTTCATGGAGGTTCTTGTATAATACCATGATTTTGGTTTTGGAAAGATTAATATCCAAACCTAGTCTGTGACTTTCTTCTGATAGTATGTTCATCAATATTTTTAGTTGGTCTTCTGTACTTCTGTACTTCTAATACTACGGTGTCATCGGCATATCTTACATTGTTAATGATGATTCCATTGACTCTGGCACCTTCAGGGCGATCTTCAGGGCGATTCAACAGATGCTAGCTTATAAAGCTACAATAGATCGAACTGGTCTAAATATAATTTACTTAAGCTTTTACGGCAGCAGTGAGATGGCAGTTTTGGTAGCTTATTCAAAAAACATGTTGTGAACATTAATTTTGTGTAGTGCTCGTCTCGTTCCTGTTTCTTCTGACATCTTTGACTTGTGAATATTGAGTTTAACTTTCTTAACAAATGAACTTACTTGAAATTCACCCAAGCATAAAGTAGATAGAAATAATTTTTTACTTACATTTGTATGTAAAATTTGTATCATTTTTTGTATACTCTTTCACACAGAGCAGGTTTCCGACCAAAAAGAAGCTGCTCAGATCAGGTTCTTTCACTTACCACATTTATTGAGGCAGGGTTCCAGAGAAAACTTAAAACTGCAGCCGCATTCATAGACCTAACAGCGGCCTATGATACAGTCTGGAGAGAAGGCATGATATACAAGCTCCTCCGTATAATCTCCTGTAAATCCACCGCTGGAATAATCAACAGCATGCTAGCCGACCGAACGATTCAAGTAGTCATGGGAACCGACATCAGCACCCCAAGTAAACTGAAGAATGGACTGCCTCAGGGATCTGTCCTAGCTCCTGTTCTCTTTAGCCTGTACATCGCTGATATGCCAGAAACCAGATCAAGGTAGTTTGGTTACGCCGATGACTGGGTCCTTGCAACAAGGTGTAAGTCAATTGAACAAACCGAAGAAATCCTTACGGCAGACTTACACATAGTGGGAAAGTATTTTCGTAAATGGAGGCTCCAACCAAATGCTACCAAAACAGAGGTTTCCAGTTTTCACCTAACTAACAAGCTTACAGGAAGAACACTGAACGTCCAATTCGAAAACACCGCACTGGCCTACAATAAAACACCTGCTCTTCAGCCTGGCTTACACACAAAGTAGATGCCCAATTGAATAACACAATGAGAATGATTGCAGGTGTTATCCAATCCACCCCTACGCAATGGCTCCCAGTCCAGAGCCACATTCCACCACCAAGACTACGGCGTATACACTCCCTCACTAGTGAGTACCAAAAGATACTTAGCAACGAGACCCTGCCAATTCATCAAGATATAGATGCTGCCAACGGTAACCGTTTGCGCTCCAGGCGACCGCCAATAAAAACAGCACAGATTGCAGTGGAAAATAAGTTCAACTTAACGACCACTTGGACTCGAGAATGGATGGAACAACAAAATAGCAACTTACCCTACATCACACAAAAACCACCAGGTTTTGACTTACCACGCAACACATGGACTATGTTGAACCGAATCAGAACCAAACATGGCAGATGCTGTTATATGATGCACAAATGGGGTAAACGACCATCCCCACTCTGTGACTGCGGACAACCACAAACCATCTGTCACATCACAGAACAGTGTCCCACAAGATCCTATCAAGGCAGGTCAGAGGATTTCCTAATGGCGACTCCAGAGTCGATAGAATATATAAATAAGTTAGATGTCCGTTTGTAAACATATATGTATTAACTTTGAAAATAAGGCTATTATCGAGCACAAGTTAATTAAATCTAGCCCAAGTACTTTCGCTTAAAATAGCATCTTCAGGGGCATTTCGTCAAAATAAGAACTATCCGACAAGCGTTCCGCTTAGATAATTATCCCTCCAGAAACTGACAGAGAATGTAGCGTAGAAGTAATTTTAAACTGTTTGTCCTCGTTTTAGTGTAGTGTTTTGTACAATTTATGTTATTTTTAATGTTTCCACACTCAACGCTTGCCGGATAGTTCTTATTTTGACGAAATGCCCCTGAAGATGCTATTTTAAGCGAAAGTACTTGGGCTAGATTTAATTAACTTGTGCTCGATAATAGCCTTATTTTCAAAGTTCATTTATTCCAGCATTCAACCTCATTTCATTTATATATGTATTATGTTTTATACAAATTATGTGTAAATTTAAATGTAAATGTGTCAAGTACCATACGATAAATAAAATAAATAGCCACAAAAATTTTCCGTTGTTCCCATGTCATTTTTCTTCTTCTTCAAGTTCCAGTCCTATCGGAGATTGGAAATCATTCTAGCAAGTATAATTTTGTTGGCTACGCGCCTGAATAGTTCAATTGAACTGCATCCAAACCATTCACGAAGATTGCCTAGCCACGAGATTTTACGTCTTCCTACGCTTCTTCTGCCTTTCATTTTACCCTAGATTATATTCCTTAGTGGTTCATATTTTTCACCTCTCATGATGTGCCCCAAGTATTCCAGTAGCCCCAGTTTCCTGGTTTTTATGGAATTTAAAACTTCGCCTTGTTTTCCTAGTTGTTCGAGAACTTGTTCGTTTGTTTTGCGATCCATCCATGATATTTTCAAAATACATTGGTAACACCACATTTTGAGTGCTTCTAGGTTTTTAATGTTAGATTTTTTAAGTGTCCAAGCTTCAACCCTATACAAAAGGGTAGATAAAATATAACATCGAAGCATTCTTATCCGGAGCGATATATTGATATCGCGATTACAAAAAAGTTTTCTCATTCTATTAAAAGTTGACCATGTAATTTCAATGCGGCATCTTATTTCTTTTGTCTGATCAGTATCTTCTATGATCTATGCTCCAAGGTATTTGTACAAAGATATTTGTTTAATTTTTGTATTATCTAGTACTAGCTTAACTTTGATGTTTTGTGCTTTTGTAAATAACATGAACTTGGTTTTCTTCAAATTTATTTTTAGTCCATAATCGTTGCAATATATATTTAGTTGTTCAGCAAGGTGTTGCAAGTGTTCCTGCCAGAAGGACGCTGTCGTCAGCATATCTTATGTTATTAAGTGGCTCACCGTTTATTATAAGACCCTCACTGATCTCGTCAAGCGCTAATTCTGAGATGGCTTCACTGTATAAATTGAATGACAAGGATGATAAAATACAGCTTTGGCGGACCCCACGGCGAATCTGGAATCGGTCAGTTCGAATGAAGCTGTTTGATTCCAATAGAGGTTACATATGATTCTAATGTCTCTACTGTCTATGTTTTTATTTAATAAAATTTCTTTAAGCCGATTATGCTGCACTCTGTCAAATGCCTTCTCAAAATCAATGAAACAGGCATATACTTCCTGATTAATATCTAAGCATCTCTGCCACTTCCCAAAATTAGTTAAATATCTCTTTTCTCGTATCTTCTAAAATGTTACAACATGCACGTAATTTACTGTTCATACACTGATTTGAATCACAACGTGGTTCAATTTTTTTTTCAGGTTTAGGAGCAATTTGTTTGTATACTTTTGTTTCAGGATCTTGTTGAAAACCAAGATACACTTTAGCGCTTTTTCGTAATCTTTTGTTTGCTTCTCTTTTCCAATATTGTCTCTCTGGTTTGTTATTTCTTATTTTACTCATTTGTGTGCCTTCAATATCACTGGATACAGTTCTTACCTGTTCTTCATTGGTATTTCATTGATATTCAAATCCAATTCTTCATTTGATAATGAAATTTTGTATTGTTCTTTTTTCGGTAATTCTTCCGACATTTCTTCACTTATGCTAACAGCGTTGCTCTCCTTTAAAATTTCGAAAGCTTCTCCATGTTTCAAATGCAAGATGCGCATAATATTTCGCATGATTCTGAAATTTTGTATCGTTCTTTTTCGTTGCTTCTTTTGATATCTCTTCAGTGCTGGCTGCGATGCTCTCCGTCAAAATTTCGAAAACCTCGTCATGTCCAGATATTTTAACCACTATATTATCATGTTACATTATATCATGTATACATTAGTATTATGGGCTATAGCGTGGTTGACAGTCAGAACAGTTATAACTGTAATCCACAAGGAAACTAAGTTCTTGCAGCTGGCTGTATACTACGTATCACAAAAAAATTACTTAAAAATCCTTTATAAAAGGTATATAATTAAAACACCATATCGGGCTACATCACAGAACGTTTTCGGAATTAATATTCCATCATCAGTGTAACTATATGTACAAGTTTTGAGCCACTAAATACTTGGGTACAAACCCGTTAAACGTTTTTAATTTGAATTTAAGTTACATTATTTGATATTATATATGATGTTTACCACTGGAGGTTGCTAGTCCTGAGACTAGCTGAAACAAACTCGAACAAAATGTAATCCGCTTGATGGAAAGAAGTGTTTTAGGTTTGTTTCAGTTTTGTTTTTGCTTTTCAAGTTTTAGAAAAAAATAAACAAAATATAAACTCACCTGTCCGTTTAGTGAAAAACCGCAAAACAGCTTGATTACAACAACTATAAATATGTATATCTTATTTGTAAGACGTGTAAATTTTACAATTGTTCACATTTCAATTCAAAAGTTAACAACTGTCCAAAAAATATCTATTTGTGACAGCTGTGATAAATAATCATAAACTACCTACATAAATCGTGGAAAGAAATCCTGTACTTAATTCGTGGCAGTTTTATCAGACATTTGAAATGAGTTATTGGTAAACCTAGATATATATTTAGATAAATGCTAGATTAAATTTTATTAGTGAAACCTTCTCTGAGAGATAGTCTGATCTTAGATCTCAAGGACTTGGATTAGTTTTTTGAAATTATGTGAAAGATATTAAAGTCACATTGAAAATATTTATGTAACTCGGAATTACTTCGCTGTGGACTTATATGTCCAAACATTTATGGTAACATCGCGCAAATATTAGGCCTATTGGACCATCTCATGTTATTCATTGTCATAAGTACTACTCTATAATCGAGAATCTTAAATACATTATTTTAAATTTGAAATGAACTCCTGAAGTAGACCGTGGGACCGTTCAAATCATAAAAGGTGTTGTCAAATTTGTCACCATGTATAAGTACTCAACTCAACAAAATGTTTAAATTAGTTAGTGCAAATATATGATTTACAAATCATTTTAGAAACGCAACATACAATAAAATTATATATTATTGCGATAGTACCTCAGATAGACGCTCACATGACTGACCATGAATAGTTTATATATTAAAAGTGGTAACAGTTCAATTTTCATTAAAGAGGAACTTACCTGGTTCCGTATTCATGCTGGCTACTCCTACATTTAATGTAAAATCAGTTAACAACAACCCAAGAGCGTAAAGAATAACGCCTTGTGTAAATCTTATGGAAATCATAGTATTTATTATAACTAATATTTTAAAGTCACCAGAGAAAACTAAAAATTTAGTTCAGAGCGAACAAGATATACTGATGAATCGGAGATTTCAAGGTTTTATCATAGTCCGGTATAACTCACATAATAAATGTATACTTGATAAATTATCACCTCCTTTAGAAGGTAAAATAATTGTTGCATTAGAACGCAATAAAATAAATGTTATTATTTACTATCACCATTGTGTGTGATTGTCTTTTTAAAGACGAATCACATGCTATGATTTTTCTGACGGGTATTCTCAAGTTAAAGTTGATTTGAGGTAATCGAATGAACAATCTTACAATAAAGTCGCCCCAGGAATGCAACTCAGCAATATTGGCAATATCATTTTAAATTATTTAAAATGTATAATATATGTCTGAATTGTCAATATGAATGAGTGAGATAAAATTAAATTATTAGAAGAATTTTTCACCAACTACCAAAAAACAAAATTTGTTTAATTATAATGTTTTATATTTTGAGAATGTCCGTAGTCATCGAAACGTTAAAAATACTTAAATTGTGTTTTATTCCGAACAAAAATAATAATTGCATTAAGGTGCTACAAAAATAGTATCAAGAAACCGGTATGGACATAAATTTATTAAAAATTTTAGGAGATTGGAAATTCTTTACGAAAAATTGATTTACGAAGATCGAGATACTAAGTTAATACCAAAGTTACGTCCAGCATATTCAAGCAGGTATAATAAGAAAAAATTCGATACAAAGCCAGTTTATCCATAATCCGAGGAAGGTTACAGTTTCATAGACCCAATTTATTTTTTATTGAACGACATTGTTTTTCAAATATCGAATGATGAGTTTAATACTGTCAAAAGGTATAAACTTTGCTGTTACTCATCTACATATTACAAAATTAGACATAATTAGCTTAGTGGAGAAAATATCTCAATATTTCTCAACCCACAAAAAAGAAAAATATAAAGTATTATGTAAAATTGAATTGGAAAAGTCTAATAAAATTAAACAAAACATAAACAAAGGGCAACTGAAGGCTGTAAGAATTTTAATACAATAGAAATATGCTTTATTGTCACTGAAAATTGTACAATTTTATGGACAAAGCTTACAAAAAGTAAAAAAAATAACAATAACAAATAAAACTTACTAAAATCACATAAATCATCAATATTACAGAATCACAAAATAAAAGATAATAAAAATATACAATCCATTGCAAAATTTAACTAAATTGCAAATTGCATAATAAAACCTTACGAATTAGTTTACGAATAAGTTATATCCAAATAAATCAATGTTATTCGTTAAGAAACTCTTCCACCGAATAATATGGTCTTTCAGATAGATAGACTTTTGTTAATTTACGTAACTTAAGGAAAGCAGTTGTAGATTTAAGTTGTAAAGGGAGATGGTTGTATAATTTTTTTGCCGAATATAATATAGATTTCTAAGCCTAGAACTATAGGTCTATAGATTTCTTAGAACGCAGTGGACGCAATCGGTAAATACATCAAAGCTTGAATTTCTGGTGGAGTAGTCATGATTAGATCTTGCTGGAAAAACATGTAGGTGTTTACGAATTAAGCTAACAGTTTATAGAATCTATAAAGAGGGAAGAATTAAAATCCCGTGATTTTTTAAGTATTTTCTGCAATGTGTTGTTCTACTAAGGCCAAAAAGATACCGTATTGCTCTTTTTTGTAATTTAAAAATAACATCAGATTGGGCAGCTGTACTAGAACCTCAAAAAGAACGGTCATATCGAAGATGAGCCTCGAACACAGCAAGATATGTTATTTTGGAAGATGCTAAATTGATTTCCTTTGAAAAGATCTTATTGCATAGTAGGCTAAGGCTAGTTTCTTATTTAAGAAATTGATAAGTAAGGTTGCTGTCTTTAAATATACCAAGAAATTTTACAGAATCGACAATACTAATCTGGCTGTTATTAAGAAACAAGGGTTGAAGAGCTCCTTTATAGGATAATTCTACTGTGTTATCCACGTTAAAAGAGAGTAAATTAGAGTTGGACTAGGTTTTTATTTTAAGTAGACCAGAAGTTACAACTGCATGAAGAGTTGCAATAGTAGAGTTCCTCCAGGTTATACTGGTATCATCAACAAAAAGAAAAATTTTACAAAAATAAAATTTTTTCCATTGATTTTAAGTTAGTAAAGTCATTTATAAATATACGGAAAAGTAGAGCACCTAGTACTGAACCTTGTGGTACTCCACATGCAATGCTTTTGTGACTAGAGTCAGTATCATTTGCTCTAACTAGTTATTTTTTATTCATCAAGTAAAATTGAAAACAATTCAAAGAAATACCTCGAATTCCGTAGAAATTTAGTTTTTTTTTATCAAACTGTGATTTACATAATCAAAAGCTTTGGCATAGTCTAAAAAACAGTGCCAGTATAAAGATTATTGTTTAGTGCTTGATAGATCTCATGTAGTATAGAAAACATAGCATCGCTGGTACATTTATTGGATAAAAAGCAGAACTGACTTTGTGGTAAAATGTTGTTTTCAACGAGAAAGGACATAAGTCGGGCAGTTTTGGATAGGACCGATAGTAAGGCAATCGGTCTCTAGTTGCAGACATTAGATTTTTCACCATCCTTATGAAGAGGAATAATAATGGCTGTCTTTAGACACTCGGGAAATATATCTTTTTTAAAGGAATCGTTAATTACTGAGACCAGCACTTCCAATACATTTTTTGGGAGATTTAAGAAAATTTTTATGGATAGTTAGTACTACAGGAAGATTTGCTTTTGATAATACTGATTGTTTGGATCATTTCAGATTTATCAACTGGGCTTATACATTTTATAGGGAGAGGAAATAGGATCTTGTTCTTGGCAAAATAGTGGATGTTATATTTTTACTCACATTAACGAAGTATTCATTTAGATTTTCAGGTTTTGGAAGAGAAAATTTTTGAAACTGTGTTAGTTTTGTTTCGAAGATCGTTCATTATGGACCAAGTTTCTCTTGCAACATTTTTAGAGCTTCCCAGACGATTCCTATAGTACATTTTTTAAGTTGTTTTAATAAGTTTTGACTCAATTGTAATTAAAGGAAATGCCTTATTGAAAATACAGACAAGCCTATCTAAAAAATCACTCAAATTATAGTTCACGTCCACAGAGGGAAAGTGCCACCCAAAAGTCAGGCACAAATTTTGGAATTTACGAAAGTTCTCAGCAAAAAAAAATCCTACCTAAACGTTGGGTTGTCGAAGAATGTTGGTTAAGAGTGTTAGACTTGGTATATACTGCTTCATGATCAGATATTCCTGTATTATTAATTCTATAGCGTACATCAAGGGGTAAGAAATCTGAGACAATATAATCAATTACGGTAGAGGTTGTTTTAGTAATTATTGTAGGAGAATTAACGTGAATTATGAAATCATACGATTCGAATATATTGACCAAGGATAATTGGGTAGCACAAGCAACGGCGCAATTAATATTTAGGTCACTGCACAAAATCTTTCTGCTGTTATTGTGGAGGTCGTCTATCAAATTTAACAGATTCTGAAAAGATAGTTCCGTGGAAGATTCAGGAATCAGGTAATCTATAAATGCAAAGAATGTATAGATTAAGATTATTGTCATAGAAACAAAAATAATTTATCTGTTTTATATCTTATAGAACAAATATTAATCAGAATCATGATAAAGTTGTCACCATTAAAATTATTTGAGACTTCTAGTCCCACAGAACATGTCATATTATTTAAAAATGACGACGATTTTAAAAAATGACGACTCCGTATTATTATATAATCCTACAAGCAGACAAGGGGAATGCAATTGTGATAATGGATAAAATTCAATATGAAAACAAAATTAAAGACCTAATATCAAATGGACCTTATAGAAAATTAACAAAGGATCAAACGAAGCCTTTGGAAAACAGAATGTATCAAACTTATTCAAGTAAACCTCATTACAGCTAGACACATTATTTTATGATGGATCGAAAGTTCATAAAGCGAATACACCACTTAAACCTAGTTGTACCATGAATTCTCTTTGTAGTGAACTGTCAAAATTTTTATTAAATAATTGAAATTCTTTTTTTAATTATAGTATATTGTTCATGTATTATAATAATAATATTTTATTGAGATGTATATTCGCTGACTGAATGAAGTTTTTATTTCTGAGCCTTCAGAAGTTTGTGGACTGTATTTCTTGTATGAAAAATAATTATTCTGACTGTGACACTTTTATTATAATAATCTTATAAAAGCTTAAAATTAACAAAACACAAAAGAATGTCATTTCTTCTGCTTGACAGCTACGCGTGGTGTCGTTGTCGCTAGTGTTCGATGCATGCGCCCTGTGGCCCGTGCAGGGACGGCTCTTGCACTGTTGACTGCTGAACATGCCGCCCCCCTTGAAAGGCTTAAGTGATTGCCTTTCAAACAACGCTTCTTGTAAACCATAACCATTATTGTTCATCCATTGGCAGGACGGCTAACTTTACACAAGGCCTTTTGAATTCACCTTTAGAAGTACGCACAGTCACAACCCGCACAACATTATCTCTCCCAGCATGTAGTTGCAATATTCTACCCAATTCCCATTTAGTAGGAGGAAGACCATCCTCTTGAATAATAACCAATGATCCAATTTTCACGTTGTCAGCTGCTGTTCTCCATTTGGTTCGCTGCTGAAGTGAAGAGAGGTACTCACGTGACCAGCGTACCCAAAAACTCTGAATTATCTGAGTCAGGTGATGATACCGTTTTAACTTATTCGGATTTATTTCAGTTAGCTCTTCTTGTGGCAGTGCTACAAGTGGTGCTCCAATTAGAAAATGTCCAGGGGTGAGTACACCAAGGTCTTCTGGACTTTCTGACAGAGGTAATAAAGGACGGGAATTTAGGAGAGACTCAATTTGCGTCAACAAAGTATACATTTCGTCATATGTAAATTTATTATTACACATTACCCTTCGTATATGAAACTTTACCGATTTTACAGTTGATTCCCAGATGCCACCAAAATGTGGTGAGTGAGCTAGAATAAAATGCCAATGAATCTTATGTTCCGAAAA